AACAAGTTTTTTCAGTGGCATAAGCGCCTGCCTTACAAGCAGAAGGTCCTGAGTTTGATTCCCAGTACCATATATATATACATATATATATACACACAAAAGAACACATTTTTGTTTTCTTTTTTTAAAAAGAACAATTTTCCTGGTACAGTACTTCTCTTTCAGGATTACAGGTGTGCACCACCACGCCCGACATAATATAACCCTCATTGTGAAATGTGTAAACCAGGTGGGGTGCTGTATGCCTGTCATCCCAGCACCCCAAGAGGCTCAGGCAGATAATTGAAAATTCGAGCCCCACCTGGGCAACTTAGTAATTTAGCAATACGTTGTCTCAAAATTTAAAAAAAATTTTTAAAAGGCTGATGTAGCTCAGTACCAAAGCTCTGGGTTCGATCGTACCAAAAAAAAGAGGGAGAGCGAGGATCAGAGACAGAGACAGGGATAGGAAGGCACTGGCCCCACCTACTGGCCAGAAGGTGTATTGCCAGAGTCCTGAAACAAAGTGGGAGAAAGGAAGCAGAGGTGGTTGCTGGTGTCCGAAGTGCCAAAGTTAAAAGCCTCTGCGTTCATTATATGGGGACAATATTGAGGCAGGTCCCGGGGCCACAGCATAATACACTCCCGAGGGGCAGGCAGTGTGTGTGACCAGGGGTCCCGGCTTCCGTGACCCTTCTCCGCCCCACTCCGTGTGTGGGGGTACTGTGGGCGGCATCGCAGGGCCTCAGCAGGGCAGGTGGTCGCGGGATACAGGAGCTCTTGGGGTCCCCAGGACCCCCTTTCCCAGGCACTCTCCATTGGAGCAGTGCTGTCCCAGGGGGACACTGGGTGATGTCTGGTGACCTTTGTGGCTGTCACAACTGGCATGGAGCAGGTGGAGGCCAGGGACGCTGCTCAGCACCTTGCAGTGCCCAGGACTCCCTAGAGGACAAATTCTCTGGCCCCATTGTGCACAGTGTTCAGGGGGAGCTGTTAGGGTGTTTTTTTTGTTTTTTTTTGTTTTTTGTTTTTTCCCTGTCTTTTTGAGACAGGGTCTCGCCATGGTTCAGACTGGCCTTGAGCTCACTTTGTAGCGCAGGCTGGTCTCGAACTTGCAATGATCGTCCTGCCTCAGCCTCCCAAGTGCTGGGATTACAGGCGTGCACCACCACGCCTGGCTGTTGGTTTAATTATTTGGAAAAAGTAATGAACTAGGAGCCAGGCATAGTGGCACAGGCCTGTCATCCAGCACTCAGGAGGCTGAGGCAGGAGGCTCACTGCCAGTTTTATGCCAACCTGGACTATGTAGTGAGTTCAAGGGAAGCCTGAACTGCATAGGGAGACCCTGTCTCAAACAAAGTGATTATGGGTTGACGTGTAGCTCAGTAGTAGAACTTGTGCTCATCATACTCAAGACTGGGTTTTATCTCAATCCTACCAAAAAAAAGACTTTTTGTTTGTTTCTTTGTTTAGGGGTTTGGGTTTTTTTGAGACAGAGTCACTGTGTAGCCTACGCTGTCCTCAAACTTGCAGTGATCCTCCTCCCTCAACCTCCTGAATCCTGGGGTTACAGGTGTGCAACACCGTGTCTGGTTGCTTCTTAGTATTTTT